CCTTTAATATCTATGTATATAAGGTTGGAATTGAGTTGATGATGTTGATAAATAAATTTTTGAGTACGAGCTGTATTTTGAGTTCTTCTTTTCTAACAATACAATTAAGTATGAGGCTTTATTAGTCAGCCTTAGCTTGATTAAGGCTCGAAATATATATTATCTCAAAGTTTATAGTGACTGCCAACTCATTATTATCTAATATAAAAGTTGATTTGACGCTAAAAAGTCATTTAATGTTAAATATCAAAAAACAATACTAACTCACTTTACTTCCAAAAACAAAGATGGAAATATGATCTCTATTAGTAAGATCCTTTGATTAAAAAAATTGACAAAGGTTATTTTATTATCACAGCTAGACAATTCCAGTTGTGGAGCTCCTACTAGATATTTGGATAAAAATACTTGAAAAGCTAAACATCGAACAAGAGAAAGAGCTCACATGTATTATTCAAACTTGTATTTACATGAGATTTAAAGACTAGAATACTCCAAATAAGCAATACCTTCTTATAGAAGAGTGTTCTATATATAAAAATGAGATCATTTATTTAATGAAACAAGAATTAGAATATTACCTCGTGCATGGTGATTAACTAGATACATCATTAACGGTTATTTTGATTTGTAATAGTAGAAAATATTTTATTTTATATTTTCATTTAATTAAATATTATACATTCTTTCTTGCCAAACATATTTGAGATACAAAATGGAAAGATGTATTTTCTACCACTAATAAGTTAAGGTACCATCGTCAATAAAAGCCTTTTTTGTTTCTTTCCAATGTTCTATTTTGTCTACTATTTATTTGCCAAATCTTCTCTTGCAAGTCTCTCCTTCAAAATATTGACTCCCATGTACCTGCATTAATGAAAAAAAAGTTAACCAAAATCCCATCACATTAGCTCATCAGATATCCATTTTCAGTTTTAACTTCTCCCATAATATTTTTCCACAATTGAAAAGCAGTGAGTAGATTATGAAATACTTTTCTGAATACTATTTTACATGGGAAGAAGTAAGAATAAGAAAGAACTTGGAAAACATGAATATATATGATTGATGTTTTGAATGAAGTGGAAGTTGGTGTATTTAATGTAGATGAACTTATTAACAAATTCAACACAGGTGACCATCCACATGCCATCATAGAAGCAAACATTACAATATAATAGGTAGCAAAATAAAGAGTCTTGAAATACTCTGTATTTATTGCTGGATTTTAACCTGACATGTTTTGTTTTCGATAAACAAGTGACAAAGTGAAGTTCAAAAGCATGAATATCGAATCAGAAAAGGTTTCATTAATTTTGATGAAAAATAAATTCATCATGTTTTCTGTTTATTGTTTCGTAAAACTATGAAGGTATATTTATAATGATAAAGAATAAACATTTTTCTTTTCTTTCCTGTTCTGGGAAAAATATATTGAAATCGGAACATAATTTTGGAGCTAGAAAAACAGACAGAAAAAGGAAGAATGCAAGTTAAAAAGGGGAGTAAAAATAATGAAATATTTCTTTTATTTTTAAAATATTTTCTGTAATTTCTTTTTTACTTGAGCTAGGTTTATAAAAGAAATAATGACAAGAATATATAATAGAACTTACTTGACACCAACTACAAAATAAAATTAATATGGTTTTAAAACTCCATTTAATAATAAAATTTGAGTAATAGATTAGAAATATTGATCTAAATCAATCTGAATCAACAAAAAAAATAAATTAATATATTAATGGTTGAGTTTTGATTATATTAAGCTTGGATTATTATCAATTTTTTACTAGATTAATTTTATATTTTTTTAATTTGAATCGACCCCGTATAAATAAATTTTAAAACAATAAAAATTAAAAACTATAATTTTATATTTTTTTAATTTGAATCGACCCAGTATAAATTTTAAAACAATAAAAATTACAAACTATTACAAGAATGAAGATTTAAAATCAAGTAACGAAAAAAAACCTCCAAAAAGGGACCGTTTTAAGGGGAGACGGAGAGTAGTAATAAAAGTCAAAATCAACAAGTAAATAATGAGGGTTAGAGAGATTAGTTTTCTGGAATTAAATTGGTTACCTTCCAAGCATCATGACAGTGGCCTGAGGATTAGTCCCAGGAGTGAAATTGAAGGTGGACCCATCAATAACCCTTAGCGCGTCCACACCCATAACCTTGTAATCATGGTCAACAACACTACCAACTTGGCAACCTCCATGATAATGCCATATGGTCATGACTGTGTCCTTGCAGAAATCTTCTAGTGACTGTGAGGAATTGTAATGTCTAGGCAACAGATTTACCGGGGCACTTGCTGTCATGTTTAGCAGCTGTGGCACTGACAAATAATCAAACCTGAACTTAGAGAAAGGCTTGGAATCGATCACTTTCTCGATAGTTGAAATGCCCTCCACACATCTTTGCAAGTCCTGGGGTTCTTTGAAGTAGTTGAAGGTAACTGATGGATTGTCCTCAGGGTGGCGTGTTCTTAGCTCCAAATGACCGGTGGAAATTGGACCCATAATTTTTTCAAGAATGAATCCACCTTGGAAAGCTTGTTGGTCCAAGTTGTTCATTAGCTCAATAGCCTTGGCCAGGGCTTCTGGGGTCCTCTGTTTTGGTGGCACTGTTGAGAGCTGGCCAATCTGCACATGTCAACAAAACTTGCACCACCAAATTAATTTCTTGCTCGAATGCCAAATGGTAAAGTTTGAAGCTTTTAGGCTTGAAGGTTATAAGAAATTATTGGTGGGCCCACTGGGCCCAGAGGTACTATGATGGACCCAGAAGGGTAAGAATTCTAATCAAGTTCCTGTGATGTAGCAGCCCAATAAAAAAACCTTACAAAATTGTAGATAGGTATACCTTAGGAGAGAACATCCCGTAGTCTCTTTGAGGAGAACCACCAAAATTTTCACCGCTAGCAGCTTCAATGTAGCTACCATATTGAGTGATGCCAACAACTTGAATAAGTGAAACCTCAACTGGGAGAGGAGAAGGGACGAAAATGGCATTCATAGGGTTATCAGACATGAGTTGGCCAACCATGGGCTGATCCAGCACAACTGTAATATTGTGGGCCCGAAGTTGCTGTGCAGGGCCCACTCCACTCAACATCAAGAGCTGTGGGCTTCCTAGGGCACCAGATGATATGATAATTTCGTTTTTTAACCCTCTCTTTAGGTAGGCTCTGTGCTTTGCCCCTGATGCATCTCTGTATACCACTCCATGAGCCACTGGTTTTGGTCCTGCTGTTCAATTACAAAAATAAATAAATTGTGGCCACTAGTAGTGGCAGACAAAGAGACAACAAAAACAAATGCCTCGAGAAAATGAAAATCATATACCTTTAGTTGCAAACAAGATCTTGTATACAGTGGCATGCAAAAGGACGGTAAGCCCACCAGGATTGGCATACTCCAATAAATCAGCAGCAGTATGTCTATTCCCATCTCGATCAAATATTGTTCCACCAACTTTAGTCCCCTTAATATGATCGTATGTGAATCCATTGTTTGGCAGCACTCCGGCCTCTAGCAGCCCATCCCTCACAGACGATTGCCATGCCCCCATTTGCGGCTCGAACGCCACTCTCCGCTCCACCCATTGGTACGACTCATTCGCCAACCGACCGTCCCACCCTGCAGCTCTACACCATCTTAAACTAATTAACTACTCGATTAAAGACTTGGGGCCACGTTAATTTCTTAAACAGATCAGCTGCTAAACACGTACGTATACTAGTTTGAGGAACATATGTAACTTGAGCTTGCTTCTTTTTTTTTTATTACAATAATTCTCATGGTAAGTTTTAATATGATGTACCTTATATATTCCAGAGAGGCACGGGTATAGAATCCAGCATTTAGGCAGCTCCCACCGCCTAGTACGCGGGCACGAGCATTTATCACGCCATCTTCAGAAATGAAACGTTGAGAGGGGGAGGTAGGAGAGAGATCGGACAGTGCAGCGCCAAATTTTGCTAGGTTGGTAATGTTAGGATTGCCATAGGGTGAGCCACCGCGTTCTAGGAGCAAAACGCTAGCGTTTTGTGAGAGCGTGGCAGCTAATGGACAGCCAGCGGTTCCACCACCCACAATTATGTAGTCGTAGTATGATATTGTTGGAGCCGAAGTTGCATTGAGCATGAAAGAGTAATATGGAGCTAGGCCAAAGAGAGTTTAATAAATTACTACTAGTTTTAAGTAATTAGTGCTGTGATTAAATTAATTAAGGTTGTTAATATGCTTAATTTGTGGTTGTCAGTAAAACCTAAACTTAAACTGAATATTTGCTAGATGTGCATAAATTAGGTCAACTATGTACGTGACAATACTAATGTACACACATCGATTCGGATGAGAGTCCACATCATGTCAAACATTATAAACATAAATACCTTAAGAAAAATCCAAACTATAAAAACGGTGTTAATGAGGCACAGCTACTGCACATAAATGGACCAATATGATGGTTCATGGACAGAAAAAATAAAATTTAATAACCATACAGTTGTTGAAGTTATTGTGGTTAGGTTAGGTTTCGTGTTTATAAGTTATATATTCAAGATGGTCTTGGGACCACATTCAAGTTATTTAGGGAAAAAAAATTGAAAAGTCAATTAAATTAAAAAAAATTGAAAAAATTGAATTATAAAAAAAACTGATTAGAATTTTTTTAAAACCGATCAATAAATTGAAAAGTCAATTAAATTAAAAAAATAATTGAAAAAATTGAATTATAAAAAAATTGATTAATTTCTTTTTTAAACTGATTGATTCAATTTTATAAATATAAAACTGAAAAAGTCAAATTAAACCTAAACTGAAAAAACCAAATTAAATCAGAAAACAATCAAGCCAAACTACAAAAAACCAAGCAAATTACAGAAAAACATAGTTAAATAAAAAAATTAATTTTTTATTTTAAAAAATCAAACTAAAATTAATCAGTTTGAACCAATTTTGATTTATTTAATCTTTTTTAAAAATAATTTAGTTGTTTTTTTATAAAAATCAAACTAAATCGGAAATAATTTAGACCCGTGTGTGTACGTGTGTGTGAACTGCATATGGTAATCGGCTACTGTAGCCATCGTATTGCAGCTGAAGCCCTTGCGTCCTCCTTCCAGCGAGCTACTCAAGTTATCCTTTGGATTATAGATCACACATGCATGTTATGTCATGGCATAAAAAGAAACTAGCTAGGAAAGCATGCACTCTTGAAATGGAATTTCTTGGATAAACTATCAACTACGAGCAGTTAATTGAAGAAAAAGAAAGAAAGTTGGAACTTTATATCAAATGGTATTATGCTCCTGCATCATTAACATGGCATGCACACTGTTGGTTCCAATATAGTAATTAAGAGAATAAAGATAACGACAAATTCACTATAATTTTATTTTGAAGTGCAGATTAATGATAGGAAGAGGTAATGTGTTGTTGATTTTTCTATAGAACACAATCACAAAAGCGAGGAAAGGAAAGAGCTTGAGTGAAGGAGATATATATATTCATACCTCTATCGCAGGCGCAAAAGCCATGAAAGAAGACAATTCCTATAATACAAGCACCAAAGAATCTGCACCATCCAAGAGCCATATTCTTTGGATAAACAGGCGCTCAAATGATGGTTAATTTGTTGTCCGAAAACAAGCCAGCGGATGTTGTTCTTATATAACTTTAGAAAATCAACAATTTTGACGGCAATAAATTATGTGGGTACAAAGATTTCTTGCAAATTTTGTCGGCAATTAAAGAACACAATTTGACAATGGTTAGGCAAACTGTACCCCAGGATTCAAGAAATGGAGAAAATGTGACTCTACTGCTACACAAGGACTTTGCTAAGCCTAGCTAGCTAAGTTTACTGTACAAATGAATTACCTTCTCTATATGAAAACTGGAAGCCCAATTAATTGGCTTATTTTGATTTATCCACATGAGAGACAGAGAAATGGTTCATCGATTTCCTTTAGAATGATTAATGCTCCTACCAACAAGTGTTATTAAATCCGACCCTACTCGTATCATCAACTCAAGACATGTCTTCTCACCTCTTGATTAAAACAAAAATCAAACCAAAATTAAATTGGTTTAAACAGATCAACCTGACAAATCAGTTCGCAACATAAACATTTTGGTAAGAGCCTGGTTTGATTTTTTTTTTAGTTCTTCATAAAAACAATTGTAACAATTTTTAAATATTAAAATAACGCTATTTTAGAATGATCTCAACTAACTCTCCTAGCTCATCGGATCAGCCTTGAGTTTATTAGCTTTAAAACTAGCTCAAATGACCTTGATTATTTTAGCAGTGGGGTATAGCTAATTGCAAATGCCTTCTTTTCGGGAAATTATCGATATGCATGAAATCCACTTGGATTTTATACCCAGCGATCAGATAATAGCAACTGATTGAACGATTTTAGCAAGTTGGTGGCACCAAGATTCAGTACTAGCTATAGATCTTCGAACATTGTCACCATTTCTCATGACTTTCGAGTTATTAATTAATGATCCACGCGTAGGTTAGCAATCGGTTCGTGCATAATGACTAAGTTAAGTATTAGTACGTAATTGCTGGCTATTAATTAATAATAAGGTTGTAAGATCAGATATAGAAATTAAGAAGGATCACTTCGTGAGGTTGGGAAGGGGAGATTTTAATGAAATCTAACTACTAGTTGTTGTGTGGAGTAGTTGGGGTGCCGTTTCGATCACTTAGTGCCGTTTCATTGGTGATCTGAATACATGGAATCTCAATTTACACCATGCATGCATGTCCCCACCATTCTCTTGTATTCTCTTCTCATTGATTATTTTCGTTGGCAGCTGGCAACCTTGGAGTGTACTTATTCACGGGACTTATAGCTAATTTAGAATGGGTTTCTAAACGTAGTTATAATTATTTTTTAAAATATTTTTTATTTAAAAAAATATATTAATAATTTTTATTTTAAAAATATTTTTTGAGATTAATATATCAAAATAATTTAAAAATATCAAAAATATATTAATTTAAAATAAAAAATTTAATTTTTTTCAAAAACACTTTTAAAACACAGTGCCAAACACGTCTAATTAATTCGTTTGGTGGATTTGCGTTTTTTCTTCTTTATATAAAATTAGAAGTTTTTAAATAATTTAAATTATAACAGTGAAAACACTTTTAAAACACAGTGCCAAACACTTCTAATTAATTCGTTTGGTGGATTTACGTTTTTTCTTCTTTATATAAAATTAAAAGTTTTTAAATAATTTAAATTATAGCAGTGGAATTATCATTACATAATTGAATTTACAATAAAAGGTAATATAATTTTTTTTATATAACTAATTAGTTATTTTTAGACTAAGTAGCGTCTGGATGGTCTTTCTATATTTTTTCAACACAATGAAATAATTCAATTACCTTTAAAAGTATAAATAAATTAATTAAACTAACATCTTGAGGTTTAATCTTGCTCCCAGTGACGAGTTGTACTTGGTTGATAAAATATTGAAAGTTTGGTTGGGTGGATGTGCCTATTATAACAGAAGATATGTCACGTGTTTTATTTCAGGAGTATCCTGATTATTTGTCATTGATGTTGATTAGAAACGTTAAAAATCAGTATTGAAAGAATAGTTGATAGGTTGTTTTTATTAGTTTCCCACAAATAATATCAATGATGAGGCTAGAAAATCCTTAGTAAAAAGATTAAGGGTATTTCCATGGGCTAATGAAACTAGACTCGAAGGACTTTGTAGGCTTAACAACTCTTGCAAGAAAAACACTTCAAAGGTTAAATTAGTATAACATTTATACAAGTGACAAGGAGAATGAGTATTCTTTTGGATTATATATTCTTTAAATCTTATTTAAATTTTGTATTAGATTTGTATTGTGTTTTGTATTCTTTGAAGGACGAGCGATCTAATCTTTTTTTTAATGTTCCTTGAGAAATGAGTTTATATAAACTTAAAAAATATATAAAAAAATCAATATAAATATCTTATAAACATTTAAGTTATAAAATACTTAATATAAATATTTTAAAAACATCAAAGATATTTATAAAAATATTTAGAAGATATGTACATAGTATAAAATAAAATAGTTTTTTTCATGCATTATCACTCATAGTATCTCATCCTCAAGGATACAACAAAATGTAGCATGTTTAATTTTAGTGTATGTATTTACGGCACTTTTAAGTGATTCGAGACTTGTAGTTGATGTAATTGACTATTGTTTACCTAAAGGTGAACATCTTGAAAATATTATTTTTCTCAGATTTTTCGAGAGAACTTGAGACAAGATCCTGGGAAAATGAACTTGAGACAAGACAGGAAGGGGCATGAATTCGTGATTTCGTATTAACTTCCCAACTGTTTTTTCGTACATAATTAGCTATTGGTTAGTCCACTTTAGGTTTCTGGAGTTTTTTAATCCGTAAAAGTTTTTTCCTGGATGTCATATGAATTTGCTCTTATGGTATCAACTTTGGTTCAATTTTGAAGGAGAAGTCCGGATGTAATTCTAGGAAGGGATGAATCTTAAATTAGAAAAATTTACCTCATGATATTTTAAGCGTTTCACGAAATCTCTCTTCTTCTTTTATCCTTCTCTCCTGTTATGTAAAGATTAATTTTGATTCGTGGTTAGAATTTCCTAAAACAACATATATATAAACATTGAAGAAGCACAAAATTAAAAAAAGAAAATGGTGAAGCACGTGTGAGCTTTATTACGGGCTTGATGTCTAGGCTTGGTTACAAGCTTGATCATTTCTGAAAAAATAAATTGCTCGTAGAATAAAGAATTCTTTAATATTTAAGTTAATGGGTGAATGAAAAAAATAGCATGCAGGAAAATTGAAAATAAAAAAGAGTGAATAAATGTAGAATGAGAATGAAAATTAAGGAGTCTACAATCTCTTTATTTATCTGATTTGTGCCTGTCCACTAACCTCATGACGTGGAGATTTAAATAACAATTGATTTGTGTGAATATTGGCATCTCCCCTTAGTCGTCATGCCTACCTTTCAATTGGTGAAGAAATGGATGATTATTGACTAAAAACAATAGTTGGTCAAGAAAAAAGGTGCATGATTGCATAGAATATAATGCATACTTACACAGCAACCATTAGTTAAAAATATGATGTCAACTCTACATGAAAAAAAAAACTGAGTACGTGGACAATGCACAACGCCTCGTGTGTCAACAGTCAATAGTAAAAAGATTTCATGGTATTAAGTCAGGCCAAATATTTTTCCGAGGTTAAAACAAGGGGAAAAAACACAAGGGGCAGTCCATTTGGGGAAGTGTTAATCTCTCTCTTTTTAAACGTGCACCATCAGAAAACTAGTCCATGTAATTTATTTATTTTTAATTCTACCAGATTTTGCAGTTTAAATTTTGAAAAGAAAACGGAAAATACTTGAAACAAGAAGAATAGAACTCACGTCAGCTCTCTTTGTTACTTTGAGAATTTGTTAGTCTTCTGGGGAAGCTTGAAATTCCTACAAACTGCACTCGTTCCCTGCTTAGGCTCAGAGAACGGGTAAAACACAGTTCAAAACGGAAAAATAAGATAAAATAACGACAAGAAGAATTTCTGTAGAAATAATTATATGAAATCGGAATTTAAAGCCTGTATAGCAGATGCATAAAACTTTTATTAAAATGGAACTAAAAATGTGAATCAATGAGCTACTTTCTTACAATTTATAGAACTGACATCAAATACAAATATTAACAAAAAGAAGGAAATAAAAATTTGAGTTTGAAGGACTAGGGTTCTGAACAGAGCAGTGAATTACTACAAAATATGGATCAATAGAGGGAGTTGTAAGTGAAGCAGGTGGCAACAATGGAGGCTATGCAAATCACCAGTGAAGGAAGAAGCGTGACATTTAAGAGCTTACTCTCGCCCAAGTACCCAGCAAGTGTAATCGTGCCATCTGCAACTACACGGGCTAATGTCCCGGCTTCTGTTGAGAGCAAACCACCATTATAGGTTCCGCGGGAAAGCCTGGATGACATGACTCGAGAGAGCAGTGACAAGTTGACGCCTGGATGAAAAGAAAAAACCACAGAACTCAGTTATATTTAACATGCAGGCCTTAATTGCTTTTTCTCTGCAATAAAGCAATTCAATCCTAGGTCTTCTTTAAAGCCAATCTCGTCTCTTTAAGCATACCATTTATGCGTTAGCCTTCACGTCTCGTCATATTTTACCGTCATCCACAATGGTTAATGGCTAAGACTGTAATGTCTTGAACAAAAGGGTACCCCACTGTGATGCATTAACCACTTCGGTGAGGGGAATAGTTAATGTCACTCACTGTTTATTGCAATTCCACAGGTTATTTTTTAACTCCTTTCCTTCTGATTTTTTTTTTTAACGATTTCTTCTGATTAGAGGCCTTAATTATCTGATTGCAGTAAGGAGGAGGGGAGCGCGGTAAATCTTTTTAAAATGCGAGGAATGCCCAGGATGAGCTTATTTAGAGCTGCAACCCGACCCCCATCTTTTATGTAATTATATTTTCCATTTGTGGAGGAGACCACTGCTCCCCTCCAAATCCCTCCCTTCTTTACGTTCATTATTACGAGTAAAACATTAGAATTGAATAGTTCCTCACCTTCAAGTACTTCTGCAGAAACAAACAAGATGAGTCCAGAACAGACATACTGTGGCACAGTGTATGGGCTTATTATATGGAAGCTCAGCAGTATTCCTACGCAAACCATAATTTCTGATGCTAATAAAATTTGCCTGCAATCGGATCAACAATGAAGAACTGCATCAGTAGGTTATGACAAGCAACTCCAGAGCTCTGACAAGTAAAGATATAAAACAGCAGAATTCTATTTGATTCAAAAGCATGCTTCCTGTATGAAGACTTACCTATCTTCAAACATGTTACTAATGTAACTTCCAACAACCATGTTCACTGGAAGGACCGTTAGCCCTAGGCACGCAAGAAAAATGGCCACCGAGCTTGTTGACCAACTGAAGTAGTATGTGGTAATGACACTAGATTCTGAGAGTAAAACCTCCATTGCATATTTGAGCATGAAATATATTAACAGCTGAACCTGATGACATTAAAGAACTTAAGTGTACAGTAGCAGATATGTTATGCTGAGAAGCAGGAATAAATCCCAATCAGGAAAGTGATGCGGCACAACAATGAATTGAAGAGGATAAAGAGAATAAAAGGAGAATAAGAGAAAAGATGAAGCCAAGGAAGAGAAATGCATGTCTGCAATTTCAATAATCAATCATCAAAAAGTATCAATCCTGTAGAAAAATATACTTACATGGTCTAATGCAAACTCTAATCCAAATATTACCAACAATTGAACTAAGATGAAGTCTAAAATAGGATTAATCAAGTTCAATAATGAAACTAAATTAAAGTCCACTAAAACACACACAGGCATACTCAATCTCCCAGCTAAAGAGTGATGGGTTTGGCTATCATTTGTTGTCTTCAACCAAACATATTTGTGATATGTGACCCAGTGGCAATGCCCTCACCACCTCTCCTATTATTAGAGAAACTCAACCTCTTCAAATGGGGCTCTTAGTGGCTTTGATAGAACTCTCATGAATCAGGATCAATTTGCTAAAATGTATTTCTAGTGATCCAAGTACAATTAGAATCATGTCACCCTACCCAACGAACTAAGAATTGTTGAAAGTTATTGTCCATGATAAAAATAGATGGTTAATAAGAACCAGCATTAATTAGTTCCTTTTATGCTAATGAAAAAGGTAATGGGATAGGGGTCTCAAGAGGGACATTAGAAATGAATTGGGTAAAAGGGTCTCAATAGAGTAATTTAGGATAAATTGTTGTTTCTTAGATGTAACTATCCTTAATATTAAATTAAAAATGGAGCTAATATCAAATTTTGTGGATAGACTAGTGACATAAGCATTCAATCCAACCCTTTGTAACACTTTGAATGGTCCAACATTACGTTCTTGCAGTTTTTGATTGGTTGTAAAAGTATATCATTTAGGTCTAATCTGTATCATGACATAATCTCCATTATTAAATCTATTATGATGTTTATGTAAATCAACTTGAAGTTTGTATTAGACATTACTTGCTTCAATTTGTTTTGTGATCTCAATATGTAAATGAACTATGTAAAAATCTCAACTAACTCGAACACCTCATCGTGAGGACATGGAAAGGTCTATAAACTTCCTAGGTTTGTAACCATAAACAACAAATGGACTCATGCTTATAAACCTATTAACCAAGCTATTATAAACAAACTAGACCACGAGAATAATTAAGTCCCAGCTTTTATTATGAACATGTACTTATAAGCCTATTAACCAGGCTATTGTAAACAAACTAGACAAGAGGAATAATTAAGTCGTAACTTTTATTATGGACATGTGCTTATAAACCTATTAACCAAACTATTGTAGATAAACTAGACAATAGAAATAATTAAGTCCTAACTTGTATTATGGACCACCAAACAACTAAAAAGGTTGTCTAAGTTTTGATTGACCACCTCAATTTGGCCATTTGTTTAGGGTGGTAGGCACTGGTAAATTTAACTTGTTACCAACTATATGTCAAATGATCTTTCAAAAGTAACTCATAATCATAAGTCTTTATCTAAGACTATAGTTTTGAGAAGGTCATACAACTTGATGATCTCATCAAAATAGAGTTTAACAATTATATAGGCAACTATGATCTTGGTATAAGGAATGAAGTGGACCATCTTGGAAAAACAATCAATAACCACAAATATAAAATCATCATTGTTTAAGGTATGTGGAAGCCCAAGCACAAAATCCATATTTACCTCTTCAAATGGTTCCTTTTAAGAGTTTACTAGGACTTTCTTTGCAACTAAAACATAATATATCCTTTCTAAACCTCCTCTTTAAACTCCTTTGAACTTGTCACATAGAGTCTCTCTCTCATATCCCTCATTTTCCTACTCTTATCGTTAGGCTTTGGATGGTAATAGAATGAACTAGATCTTTCTACTCTTAAAAGTGAAAGAACATAAATTTGACCAACCAAAAAGATGACATCCAAATCATATAGTCATGGCTTATAAAAAATAATATGTCTTGGATCCATTCAAATCACATCATAATAGATCTCATCATGGTAGTCTATGAATTTAATAAGGTACAAACATGTCTCCTTCATCGTTATGGAAGTGTTATTAACCCATGACACACTCTATAGCTTAGGATAGGGAACAAACTTTAGCGTAGGCAAGCTACAATATTAGAAGATACTATATTGATGCATCTTTCACTATCTATGATGATATTGCAATTTTTATCCCAACACTTAAATGTAGGTGTGAAAAATAATAGTCCTTCTCTAATTTTCGGTTCCCTTAGATTGTGTTAATGGCACATTTGACTACACCTAGCCTAATTCTCTTAAACTCTACAATGTGTTGCTTAATCTTAAGGAATAAATCAGAGACAACCTAATAAATTGAGACCATCATCATTCTACTCGTCTACGTCATGAAAATCCTTAGATCAGGTTCATACATTTGATCACCGTAATCTTTCTTCACCAATATTTTTTATTCCTTGATGATTAAGACCTTATAGGTACAATTGGTTACTTCATTGAGCACTCTTATGCTCTTGTCTTCATTAAAAGGTTGGGTCCTATTAGGATTCCATATGTGGGGTGGAGCACCTAACAAGAAACCATTGTTATCAAACCAAAACATAAAAAGAGTGTTGCAGTAGCCATGACATCTCATTCTCTTATTCTTTATAATGGATTCAACTCTCTCATAAATGTTAGTCGTCTACGCTTACATAATTTGTAGTTACTCTTGAATAGTTACTCCTGAATAGTTCTAAAGGCATCAATTAGAGTCATGTCTATGGTAGATGTAGACTCTAGGTTGGATAATAAACAACCAATACACAAATACTTACAAAACTAGTTTAAAGATGCAATTGAGATCAAAACAATTCTTCCAAGTAAAACTAGTGAGGACACCAAACCCAAGATATTGTTTACGCACTCGTATGATCATAGATGATGGAAAATATCCCAAACTATTGAGAGATTGAGTTTTATTTTATGTTTTGGATTAATTTATTTGAATTTTTCGTTGATATTTATTAATTAGGCTTTATTTTTTGGGCTTGATTTAATTATTATTGGGTATTTTATTTAGTGGCCTATAAGCCCAATTACTTATTTCCAGTTAGGGTTTTAGTATTGTATCCTACTTTTTTAAATGTTGAGTGATTTACCAACCAATATACTTAAGGTGAATATGAAACCACTTGAATCATAAAATTTGGACTGTTTGTTATTTTTGATATTGGTGTAGTGGGCTGTTCCATCTTCCTTTGCTTCTATTGCTAGTACTGCTGGTGTTGCTGTCTTTGATTCCACTGCTGCTGACAGTGTTTCTGCGCTGCTGGTGTGCTGTTTCTGTTTCCACCACCACTGCCACTGTTTCTGGTGGTGGTGGTGCTTCTGTTGTGGTTTGCGGGCAGTGCTAGAGGCTGTTTTGCTGCTGGACAGTGTGGTGTGTTTGGGTCTGTTTAGGAGCAGTTGAAGGTGGTTATTTTGGGCAGTTATGGGGCTGTTGGGGCTGTTGGGGCTGCTGTGGATGGTTCATTTGGGCAGTTATGGGGCTGTTGGGGCTGCTGTGGATGGTTTGATCATTCGATTGTTAGAAACAACCAAAACCTGCTCTAATACCAATGTTGATACGGGACAACAATGAAGAAGAAGCTGAAGAAAAGAGAGGAGAAAGGTTTTTCTACAGTCTCTTTAATCAATCGTCAACAAGGGTCAATCCCATTGAAAACACACTTAAATAGTCTAATGCAAATCCTAATCAAAACATTGCTAGCAGCCCCCTAAAATAAAATGAAGTCCAAAATAGGATAAAACTTAGTCCAATAATAAAACCAATGAAAAGTATAATAAAATAGACTCAGATAATACTCAATCTCCCAACTGATGAGTGATGAGATGGGCTATCCACCATAGTCTATAACCATACACATGTGATTTGTGGTGTAGGTTTGGTGTTTCCACAAGGAAGCCTGTTAGATAACGACCAGTATGTTGAAGTGAAGTTCCATTCCACAAGCTGACTACAAAGTCAGTCATGCATAAATCTCAGCATAAAGTGCTATATTATCTGATTAAGGGAACATCGTGATGCATTAGGGATAGAAGGCTGGTAAGGCCAACAAAGAGAATGACCGGAACCTTAGGCATGAATTCCTAGAGTACTTACTAGGCCAAGCAGCCACCTAAGACTCAAAACTAGTCATGAAGCCATACTTTTGTCTCCAACAAGCTTTCTGCTGGTCCTAACCAGTTGTTTTCAGAGAAAACAGCCTTTACAAAGCAATAACATCATACCATTGGGAGACATCGCTGGTCACAGAGATGAAATTTTTGCACACCATCACTTCCAGCATAGTTCTAACAAATTATAATTTGTTCCCCTGCCATATAGTTTCACAAACTAACATCCACACCCACACCTAAGGCAATCACTCATGAACTAGGTTCCTCCATAGAACCTGATGAAACTATTGAAAGTTTAGAAATTCATATGATATTGCCATACCTTTACAGAGGGTGTAAGTAGCCTATATGCTGATCCAATTGATGTAGCTGGTCCCCGAGCCTCCTCTGGAGCTTCGTCACTGCCATCAAATTCTCCATCACCCTCTTCAGTCACTCGCTTGTCGTCTGAACTCAATAGCAATGGTTGTTTAAGACCTTTCTCGAGAACATCATTTTCTACTGGTTCTGTCATTCACAAGAATCAAAATCTGGATCATACATTTTTACACATTGGTGGATATGTTCTGATAATATTTGAAGTAAATAATGAATGCAGGGGAATGCAGCATTGGCAAGGTTCAACTGGAAAATTCCAATCATGACTCCTAAATCTCACTAACCTCAACTCATGCATTAAGTACAAGCAGTTCTCTCCTAGCTACAGCTCTACAAGTCTAGCTTTAGCCCAAAACTTAGCAAGTTTGGCGACCCAGCATTTCAATTGTTGGGTGACAAAACAAGCATGTGGTAATAGTCATTAAGCCTTAAATAACATGTTGATTTACTTAGTGGATAGAAAGTGCAGCAAGTATTGACCATGTGCAATAGTAAATATACCGACTCCAAATGTCCAATAAACTCATTGCATAGATAAACGATGTCTAAACTGTTTGAAAGAAGTTGAATCATTGGTTTAAATTCTAAGATGCTTTCATCCAACCAAAAACAAGACATGCTTAATAGCTGAATCATTGGTTAAGAGTTAAACATGCTTTCATCAAACCAAAAACAAGATATGCTTCATGCAGTTTCATTCGCAATCTATCAGAATTTTCTATCCATACAACATAAAGAATAAGAAAACAACTGGAAGTGGCAATCACAATGTGAAACAAGCAGCTTTGATTCCCTCTTATAAATGTTCAACGATACGAATCAGTATGATTACAGGTTGATAAGGTAAATGAGTATATGTGCAAGATCAAACTAAATGCAGTGTGAGAGAAGTTAATATACCAGCAGTGGATTCCTGCTCTGCACTGCTCTCTTCAGTCACATGAGAAGGTTCTTTAAATGAGATCCACAGCCACACTAGATATATAAGCCAGGCCAGAGACATAACCCAGCCTGGCAAAGTGTCTTGATTGAATGTCAGCTTGTAAAGTTTAAAGTTAGTTTGTAGTAAGCCAGCAAGAGCAGGACCACAAGCCATTCCAAGAGCACTGGCACTAACAAAACCTGCTGATGCCTGCATGCGTATTTTAAGCGGTACACAATCACTGATGTAGCGCCGGTTAACAGCTCTGGCAGAACCCAATCTACAACATAAAGAGTATGGTTAGGTCAACCTGAATAATTAATACTTCAAATTTAATGAAATTTTCACCATGTAGCTATGAATCTATGAAGGAGCTCTAATCATATGGTTATTCTCTTACACTGAACTTTAGTAAGTTCCTATGCATGTATGTGAGTGAGTGAGTGAGTGTGTAAAGAGCGCTTCATGTCACACAACAAAAGGTTTGGTTACGCGAGTCTATCATAATCCAGAACTCAACACTATGTTTTGTGATGATCATTTAAGTCAGTATAAAATTCATGATGATGCCAAATTACTCAAAATGTATCTTATTATCTCTGCAGCAGATGACTACGCTGCAAACCACCTAGTGAAATTATTCTCATCATGTAATCAGACATTAAAAGACAAGGAAAAGGACGAAGATTACTTACCCACAGAAAACACGGCCAAGTAAGAGAACAGCTATTGAATTAAAGTCATATGCCAATGCATACATGGCATTTCCGATGAAAAGAACAATGCTGCTGAATACAAGAGGTCTGAAGTATGACTTATTTGACCAAGCACTAAAATATACTGAAGAAAACACCTGTGCACCAGCCATTGATCCAATCACAATACCACAAACTGTTGCTGCAGCTCCGAGGCTCATGGAGTAGTCATCTGCTGTAGGTACAATAATATATGTATTGACCATATAAAGAAATGTGTTGACTAAGTTTAAGAGAAGTGATATAAAATGGTATTTTTGATCATCAACAGGTTCCTCAAAAGTTGGTAGCTCTTCTTGCATAATGAGTGCATGTTGTGCCAAGAAGTTGAGGAAGTTTGTTGAGTGGGTTAGCCTGTCAACTGCTGCTTTCATTGAATCAACAACAGGATCCTGGATATTAAACACCAGCAAACATCATGGTGACTTGGTCAGTACAAAACTTATGGCCACTGCAACACCAAAATATAAAGCTTCAACATGATTTGATGGAACTTTCAAAAAGGAAATGGATTATGGAAACCAAAGGAAACCTGGAAGGGAAGAGCAGTCTGATCATAAATCGATAAGTAGCTTCCCTGATGTTCCTGAAGTTCATGCAGATTGCGTGATATGGCTCCAACAACAGCTCCTAGACCCTGCAATTTTATTGATATTCAGTAGAAACTCATTAACTCAAAATCTATGGTTCTATTTCTGGAAATGAAAGAATATCAACGGAAAAGGTCCAACTAGAAAGTTTTTCAAGCATCAGAATAAGAAGAAAAATAGTGAATGCCACTAACTTAGGCATATTACCACGTGCTTGAACACTTGTTGCAGCTGAGAGTAGGGATGATTGGCACGGGTTTTGACATAGTAATCAGTGAATCTATATCCAAAACGTTTATCAAACTTCTTCAGTATCTTACGCAGACCAATGGCATTTATCTCTATAAAAAAGAGAAGCTTTAAGAGATCTCGTCCCACTTCTCTATAAGCTTCTCGTAACTGAGATATTTCAGATATATCTGGCTGCTGCTGAAGAGCCTCCTGCTGCTCATTAAGCTCGGCTATCCTGCTTGCAAGCAGCCCTTGTTGTTCCAAGAGAAAAAGAACAATCTTCTCTATCTGAAATTGGTATTGCAAAAACGTGTCAAAAAACATTTTGTTTCGGCCTCGAGCGAGGGACTGAATTTGGAATTGTCAAGAAGACAGCAGAAAGCATCATTTTGACAAGAGGCTTATGAATTCTGATGTAACATACAGTTGCAACACACTTCGCACAAAACAAAACACACACATTATACATTAATATGTACATTATAGTACCAAATTATTTCTCTATACCTGATTATCCAACATTCTTGAGAAATCCTTGAGTACATGCCGGCGATCCTGTGTTCCAACTTCAATTTGTTGAGCATGTTGTCTAACTTTCTTCTTCATTAATTTGTAGTTGATATAGTATCTACAAGAATGCAGATCCATGAACAAATTAAAACACTAACCTTGAGGGAGCATAAAGAGAATGCTGAACAATTATACACTATGGTGCCCAAGAACAATGGACTTCATACTGTCACCACCAGCATGCCGCAACAACATGGTGGTGACACGCTTAATCAAGTGAAACAATTCCCACACCAACTGTACCACCCTCTAAATTTCTCTTTTGCTATCAATCTAATGACCTACATGTAAATGTGTGACTTTAATTTGAAAAATACCGGGAAGAAAGCCCAAAATTTGTTTTGGTTTCCTGATTTTATTTAAAAATATTATTATAAATCTTACCAAAGTCGCACTAAAGTAGTAAAGTAGTAAATTTTACATCCCCGCAGAAGATGGATTAATGACTCCAAATCAAATACATGAAACTTAAGTATCGTTTGCCATCTCCACATAGAATCAACCGAGAAGGGGAAAAAAAGCAATTAACCCCAACATCATTGAAACTAAAAGATGATGCCAATCCAAGAGGAGGAGGGGTGTTCTTTGCCAATAAAATGAACTGACAGTAGACAATGCTTATCAGAAAGTTCTGATATGTCAAACATACCCTTGCCATTCTTGAATTTGTCTTTCCTTCAGCTTTTTCCCAAAGGCAACCATTTCTTACTGCCAAAAAAGGAAAGGTACACAACTTGAGTGAGAGAAGGGAAAGGCACAAGAATAGTGTTGCAAGAACTTGTATTCAAATAAACCAATGACAACTCTAGTTTTGATCCTGAAGAATAAGAAGGAAAGAAAATGGAAATTAATCAAGCATCGCACTCCACGTTATTTTCAAATAGAATATAGCTCTCTACAAACCTTAAGATGCAGTTTTACAAGGATAGTATAAGACAGTTCGAACTGTTGCCAATTTCTTACCATGTCAAAGCATATAGACAAGTAAACTTGTCGAACATAAAAGAGAACAACACAACAGTCCTAAATGCTATTTGAAGCATAGCTGACAATCCTCATTGCATAATCAAATATCGAGGAAAATGCAGACAATTGAAAATGATCAGACCAGCTTTGTCAGACACGGATGACGTGGGAAATGCAATGTGGATTAGTATCACACGAAAGCAACTTGACATGCACTCTTAAAAGGCACGTATGAAAAATGCAGAAGCGAATGCCTACTTGGATTGTCAAAATCTCCAAGTTAAACCTAGTACCTGCCATTTCAGGTATTTCAAAGCAAACAAGTGCATGATACACCTCAGAACAGTTAAGGTATATTAGCCAATAAGGAGATGCATTCATTTGATAGCCAAATAAGCCCCACTCTTTCAAATGTCTCCCAGTTAATCCATCATTAAAAAAAAAAAAAAAAAACCACCTTTTTTTAATTAAAAAAAATAGAAGGAGAAGGAAATCAAATCTCTTCAGTTGCAAATATTCAGCTTAAAGAACAAGAGGGAATCGGTTCTGTACAAATAATTACTTTTACCAAACATTTGACACAATATTGACTTACAAGGATGGAAAAATCAGATCAAACAAGTCAGCAATCATCTTTGACTTGCTAATCGCTGTCTGCTTATCAGTTTCGTATTATCATAAGCCACTTAATTTGACCCATTCCATACAACTAATCAAAGCGGCAATCAGTTTCCAGTATGACAAACTCAATCACATTACCTCTTCTTCTATTGTTTTATTTTATTTTTGAAACGTGCTGACATATATAAATTATAATACAGGAGACATTTATTAACTTCAAATAATAATTTTTATTTATTTAAACATCAAATAAACTTAATCATTATCAACAATTAAATTTTATTTCCTGGCAATAAACCTTACAGCAAGGAGCGAGCTGTCCGACGCTGGTTGGTTGCCGAGGAAGCGCAAGAACAAAAAAATAAAATAAAACCGAGCTTACTTATGCACTCTTGAACAACGGTGAGCAAACACAGAAAACAGACATCGCTTAACAAGAATTCCATTTCATTTCTTCTTTTTTTCTTTTCAATCGGTTTTTATTTTCTTAGTTACCAAACAGAGCTTGTAGAATTGAAAATATATGTATGTATATATGTATATATTACCGGATTGAATTTCGAAGGAAATGATCAGGTGTAATAGAAAAGGAGATTAGATGACCATCAACGAACGAACGAACGAACACCTAAAACGACAAAGAAACAATCACAAACTCAAATAGAATGTGAATTGTTATAAATAAGCGGTGAATTCGGTTTGAGCCGTAATATTTATTTACCTGAAAAATGGATCCAGAAAGAGAGAGGAGGAAATGAATTCTCTGAGAAAACGGATCTTTACTTTTGTTTTATAAATGGCTCAGCTCAGCTTACTATGGTAGAAAGAATAGGAAATCAATTCCGTTTTACGATTTCAATGAGATTAGCTGAAAATGAAATCGAAGAAGAAGAGGAGAAGCAGAGTCTGTTTGGGAGGTTTTGGAGGGTGGAATTCTATTTTATTTCTCACTCTTGAGAAAGCGGCTTTTTATCGAGATTTGGTTGTTGTCTCTCGGCGTCCTTTTCAGCTTCTCTTTTTACGAATATTATAATCTTTTGGGGAGTTCTCTATAAATGTAGAAACGTTCGTGGCCCTTTTTGCAATTTTAAAAACACATTCTTCTTCTGTGGATAAGAAGGGCGGCATGCCAACGTTTCCCTTTCAATAATTTTCGAACCTTTTTTTTTTCCCCATCATTGTCCCTTGATTATGGCCATATACATAGAATTAATTATGTTTTATTACCGAAAAAAGGAATTAATTATTTTTATTATGCAATCCTCGTAAAAATTAATTTCTTTGTTTTTACTTAAGGGTTTGATTTATTTCACTCATGGCACCTTCTATGTGAACTCGTGGAGGATAGATTCCGGCGGTGTTTATTTAAAAGGTTGTGCTTGTATTTTGTTTAAAATATATATGTAGTTTGTTTGGTAAAAAAAAAATTATAGTTTATTATTTATAAATTTTATAGTATTTTTGTGTTCATACGAGAAAAAAAAAATTAATTACTGCTTTTTTATATTATTTATGTTAATTGTATTATATTAAATAGTGTAATTAATATAAATAATATAGTTAATTTCATTGTTCTGGGACGGGTCTAATTTAAAGCTCAAGATGCATTATTTTTATGTTTAGAATACATATGCAGAAAGAAAAGCAATCATTTGCTGTTTCTTCACACTATTATATATTATTTATACTAATTGTATTATTTAGACTGTTAATACTAAATAATACAATTAATATAAACAATGTAGCCAACTTCATTCTTCTAGTTGGACCGAGTCTAGTTCAAAACTCAATATATATTGAATCAGGTCCGATCAAGTAAAATAAAAAATAAAAAATATTTTTTATGTTTTAATTATATTTTATTAAAAAAACTAGTGTTTAATATTATTCAATGACACTATATAAATTAAACAGAAATCGTTTGATAACGTAACATTTGCAGAATTTGATTACAATTTTAATTTTATTCATTATTATATTTTACTTGATGTTGTTGCGCGCTAAAAAAACTATAGTCCTTATCGGATGTATTTTATATGTGATGGAATTGTAAATAATTTAATGGAAAAATAAAAAATATTTTATATAAAATATTTTTTATTTTTTCATTAAACTATAATAGTTAAATCTAAAATATTTAAATTAAAAATAACCAATATTAATATATATTTTTTAAAATTATTTTATAACCTTAATTTCAAAAATATTATTAATCAAATACATTAACCTACTTTTTGTTTAATCTTAATTTCAATAATAGTTTTAACCAAATATACATAAATATAAAATCAACTTTAACTAAAAATATCTTTTATAAAATAATTTTTTTAAATCATAATCATAACAAGTAACACAACATAAAATACACTTATTTTTTCATGTTGTGAGATAATGGTTAAATTCATGAAACACATAAAAAGAAAAAGTCAACATAAATACCATGCATGTGAATAAAAAAGCACTAAAATAACCATCTAGGTGGTGGCCAAGTGGTAAAGACTTTGGACTAAGGGGTTTGCTCCCTCTGTGGTCTCAGGTTCGAGTCCTTGGTTACTCATATGATGGCCACTGGAGGCTTCCATGGTCGTTAACTTCAGGGCCCGTGGGATTAGTCGTTGTGCACGCAAGCTAGCCCGGATACCCACGTTAATCTAAAAAAAAAAAAAAGACTAAAATAACCACGAT